AAGAATGTTCAATAACGAATGATACTATCACAGTAAGTTTAAAAAATTGAATAATTTATGTTTAATGTATACTGCATTAATAATTTTACGATATTAATATTTTGTAATAAATTTTGACAGATTATTATTAGTCGATTACCTTTTTACAATTACTTTAATAAAATAATTGATAAAAGTAGCCGTGAAATATATATATATTACACTTTTTACGGAAAAACTCAACAAAATAATTTGATAACTGAAAAAATTATTGAATCATTTTATCCGTCCATCTATTTTAAAAATCTATTGGCCTCCCTCTCTCTCCCTTTCTCTCCCCCTCCTTTCCTCTCCCTCCTGTTTTTCCTATCATTATACAGGGTGTGTCCTAATACCCGTATGTCCCGTAGATGGCAGATAGACCGGGGCAAACTGAATAGAAAAGTCCTATACCATTTTGCAAAGTTCGCAATAGTTATCGAGAAATTAATTTTAATGTCTGAGCGAATGAGAGCGTAGAAGGCGGCAGGCCGGACTCGGCAGGTAACGGTGGGGCATCATCTAATAGCGAGAGGTGGAGCGGCGCGCCAACAAAAAGTTGTCACGCAGCGAGCGGCGAGCTTTTTTGACAATTTTTTTTAGGACACACCCTGTATACATCTGTTAATATTAAACGCTTTTCTTCGTTCGCAATTTTGTACATGTATGTATACCCATACTTTGTATTCTATTTCAATATCTTCTTATCCTACTCTAATCGTATATTTCGCGAAGAAATACAGGACTGAAGTCATTTTGTAACTTAAATATCGAAGAATATTTCTTGTAAGACGCTATATCTTTTCCTTCTACTTCTATACTACGGAACGTCTTGGTCATGTGTGCTATACTAATAAATTATGTTAAAATACTGTAAAAGGACATGACTAAATATTGACATATCATGTCAAAGAAGTTATGTTTGTGTGTCGCTCTGTTTGTGATTAATGACAAACTGCTCTATAATAATAAGTATTGCCAACTTTCTTTTTATACGTATAATAAAAATTGTATCATATAACAATAAGTGATATTAATGTTAATTAAAAAAATTGGTTTCTTACTTGTTGTCAATTCACCTAACTTAATCTAACTTTTTCTTCCCTAACAGTTGTAACAAATAATATTTTATTCTGTAATAATTTAAATTAAAACATACAATTATACTTTTTATTTTATATAAACTAGATCTACCAAGGCGTGTGCCCACGAATATTCCATATCTAAATGAAAGGTAATTTTTGTATAAAATATTATTGAACAATTAATCGTTATTTTTAATATACTACCTTTGAACGTAATGGAAAACTGAGAGTCGTTTATCTATTAAATATTAAATGTACGATTTCTTTTTATAATATCTCTAATATTAAATTTATTAAATCGTTTTTGTTATAAAATTGTAACCCAATTTGTTATAAAATAACCCATATTTCAAAAACTATTTATTCTTGGATTAAAAATTACATACTTAAATGCACCATTTACATCTAACACATTTGTGTCTGTCATCTAGCAGCTCTGTTTACCAGTAACATCGTGATGGCGAAAATGAACATGAGTGAAATAGTAAGTAAAGATACTTTTTTAATTTAAATGTACTGCATTTATTAGGTGTGCGTCAAATTGTTCAGATTTTTATAGATAAATAAAATCTCGTCCTTGTATTTTTATCGAGCATATTGCAAATAAGTGTATATTAACTCTTGACCGGCCGTAGCGGTTAGGTCCATTGTACCATACAAATATAAACGTTTTATTTCCATTGTAAAAATTATATAACATGATACTTTTAAATTTAGCATTACATCTTTTCTTTTCAAAATCCCTTTCTCTTGTACGATACTGCAAATATTTACTATAGAAGCACTAGTTTGACGCTGTTAGCCTTATCACTGCAGTATTTACATATACGGGTAAAGTGGATATACACTATACAGGGTGAGTCGTAAAGGCTGTCCCAACCATTTACCATAAGAGGTGAATTACCGACCGCAACTGTAGTCAATTCGGAAAAAAATTGATAAAATCTCGTTCTACATGTCTCAATCATGTAATATCTAATCACATTTTTCGAGATGACAAAGACCTTTCTTAATCGGGAATTTGGCAAATTCTCTTCTGACTTGTAGAGAGACGATTATCATAATTTCGAACTTTGATACCAAGTTTGGATGACAAATGCGTATACAAACCTTTGGTCGATCCTCCCAAAGTCTTGAGGATAGATTGGCATCGCTTGCATTGGGCATTCTTTCCGTCTTTTGAAGTTAAATAGTGACACCACACCGACGACTTGACATCTTTTTTATGTTTGATGAAACCATTTTCATTAGACATTTTCGAAAAATGCTCTATGTTTAAAGAAATGCGTAGTGTGAACTGACAAGGTACGTGTGCTGTCCGCGCCGGTCCAAGCACATGTGCTGTTCCGGACGGCCAGTAAGAAACAAAACACGTCTTTACATGAAACAAACGCGTTGCAACTTGCAACTCACTCGACCCGCAGCTATAAAGGTCTATCTACATAAGACGCAGGACGCGGGTCGCAAGTCGCAAGATTAGACGCAGCGTGACGTATTTCCGGCCGCAACAAGCCGCAGGCTTCAATACGCAGGACGCACAGAAGTTGGGCGAATTTCAACTTTCGCGTCCTGCGTCGAAGCGACCAGCCAATCAGAACATATCTTGTCATATCGCGGCAACTGTCAAATATTCTCGTATATCATAAGATCTCGTCGAGGCGAGAAATTAATTTTTAAAAAAAAAATGGTATATAATTGGGATTCCGCGGCAACGCGGGATTTAATTTATAAAGTTAAAAAAAATCTTGGTTTGTACGCCAAAAGTGCCAAAATATATAAAAACCAAGACCAAAAAAATTTGGCATGGACAGAGTTGGGGAAAACTTTTCGTCCTCCTTGTCCTGGTAAGAAAATTTATATTTTACAATAAATATTTATTGTAATAATTTGAATTTATTTTATTTCGAGACGTAGAGCTTCAGAGGCATTGCTAGAACTTAATCTTAGGTTGTTAATCCCGGTGTGATCTTAATTTTAACAGTAATTTATTTCATGTTGCGTTTTTTTATTCAGGAGAAGAAGCAGCAAGGAAATTTAAATCTTTGAGGGATATTTTTTGTAAAGAAAGGAGGAAGATTATAAGTACGCAACCCAAGTCCGGAGCTGGTGCTACAGATTGTAGTATTCAATATAAACCCACATGGGATTATTATTCAGATCTGCTCTTCTTAGTAGATCATATTGAGCCAAGAAAGTAAGTTTGTTTTTCTCTTTGTTTCTTTAAAGTGTAGGTATACACACATACGCAGAGAGAAAAACGGAAGAATTAGAAAATGTATATAAAATATCATATAAGAAATATTCAGGGTTGGGAAAGTTACTTTATAAAAGTAACTAGTTACAGTTACAGTTTTTTCGCTTACAATGTAACTAGTTACAGTTACAAGTTACCAATTCTGAAAAGTAACGCGTTACAGTTACAGTTACTCGAAAAGTAACGAATCGTTACTTTGCAGTTACTCCCTTGCAATAAAAATAAAAATATCAAATCTGCATATGATTTGTAAAGCGGCGTTAAAGGCGTTTATGCGCAAATGCAAGGCTTAATGCGATCTGTGGAGGTTGAAAATATATATAAAGTAACTATTAATGTAACTTTTTGAATTAGTTACTAGTTATCGAAAAAATATAACTGAGTTAAGTTACAGTTACAGATGTGGAGAAAGTAACGAAGTTAAGTTAGAGTTACCAAAAAGAAGTAACTGTAACTGTAACTTCGTTACAAGTAACGAGTTACTTCTCAACCCTGCAAATATTATTTGAAGCACTTCGATCTTGCTATGACCGTTATCAGTTGTTTTCGATTAATTGAATTAAAAATAATTTTTTTATTTTAATTAGAACTTGCTCAAATATGACATCATCAAAATCATGTACTGTGCCGAATTTATTTGAACGTGACAAGGAAATGTATATCACGAAGGAGTTGAGCACGAGTACAGTCAATAAAAATAATGAAATGACAAGTAGTGTTTCCCAATTAATAACTCCTATAAATATAGACATGGTGAAAGAAGCACTTCAGTTAATTGATACATATGATATCAGCAATTCAGACATTGTGATTGACGAAGACCCAATAGTGGAATCTTCAGAAAAAAATGCCAATGAGAAAATGCTAAGGAGTATAAATAAAAAAACACTTTTTTCCAATTCATTTTAATTCAAGTAATACATTTCTATTCATTATATCTGTGCTTCTATCTCTGTAACTCTAGTGACAAGAGATACGGAACATGACACTTCGCTGTCATGTATCAGGCAAAAGGTGACATTGAAACGTGAGAACAAAGTACCTCCCAATGATTTATTGGCGGTTTCAATATCAAGGAAAGTATTGGCTTATGTGTAAAGGAAATTTTTCGAGATAGTGTGTTTACTTCATATACTTGGTTTGGCCGTGACGAGAATCAACGGCCACTGTATAATACTCGCATTATAAAAGCTATTTATGGTATGATGTTATTATATATGATATTAAATAAAAATTATTATAAATTACATTGGCTCATGTGATAAAATCAAGTGCGTATAAAAAGGGGCTCAGAGCCTAGACAGGGTTGTAGTGTTTAATAATAATTCTTTAATTAAAAAAGATATATAAACGTTTCGGTCCTGAATTAGT